ATTTACCGTAAATTACCAATTAATATTTCCTCTGTAATTCTCGCTAATTCTTCTCGTCAGAAAATCCTTCCTCCTGCGTGGGACAACCTCCCCCATTCCGCACTGGTAAGATATCAATCGTTTCTTGGTGACTTCACTAATCAGTTATCTTACGCATGTAAGCATGACCTTTGGGCTGCGCATGAGATTGCTGAATTATTCACTTGGGGGTTGGCAGAATATGCTTTGTGTGTTTTACGTTGCACGTCTTCTAAAAGTAAATTTTTTAACAAAAAGCGAGTTAGTGCCGTCCCTCCCGAACTGTTGTCCCACCTTTCTTCGGTTACTCGTGAAATTAATAAACTAAAGCGGACGAAGCGCCGCCTCAGGGCCAATAACCGCGAACTGTCTCTCGATTATGCCAGTAATTTAAGTCATTTAAAACTATTAAAGAAAACTCTTTCCGAAAAAGTAGCACAGCTCCGATCTTCAGCAGAGCGTAAAGAAAACGATAGTTGGTTCCGGCGAAATATGTTCAGTTTCATTAATTCGAAACTCAAGCACGGTAATAATACTTCCAATAGCGCGCTGAAAACTGGTGATATTGAAGAATATTTTAAAAAGGTTTGTAACCCAACCCAGCTACCACCAGTCGATTGTGCTTGGATTAACAAACTCGAAAAGAAACCAGTGACTGTTAACTTTAATTCGTCTGATATCAAGCCATCCGATATCGAGTACATCTTGAAAGAAAAGAAGCTTTCATGTGGGTCTGGTCTCGATGGTTTAAACTATGTTTTTTTAAAACCGTTTCCGGTAATTCACAGATTTTTGGCTTTTCTTTTTAATAAAATTTTGGCGTCAGGGAAACCGTGTAAGTCATAGCAGACAGGTAAGACTGTTCTTATACATAAGAAGGGCGATTTGAAATCGGTTGAAAATTATCGTCCCATCACTTTAACCAGTTGTGTAGGTAAAATTTTCCACTCAGTTATTTCTAAACGGCTAATGTCTTTTTGCATAAAAAACGGTATTATCGATACGGATGTACAAAAGGGGTTCATAGAAGAAATGAATGGGTGCGGCGAACATTCGTTAAAACTTTTGAAACTGATCGAGCAGCAACGTACTGAAAGACGTGCAATGCACGTCACCTGGCTCGATGTAGCCAATGCTTATGGCTCGGTAAGGAAAGAAGTCATGTTGGCTGCGTTAAAGCATTATGGCATTCCTGACGAAATTATTAATTACATTAATAATTATTACACTGGACTTTCTATTAAAATTCAAAATGACGATTCTTTTACCAGTGAAATTCCGTTTAACGTAGGTTTGTTTCAGGGCGACACAATGAGCTGTGCGCTGTTTTTATTAATTTTTAACCCAATTTTGGAATTTATTGAAAATAACAGGAAGCACGGTATTGCTTTCGATAATTTACCCGACCATAAGCTTATCGCACTGAGTTTTGCCGATGACCTTACGTTAATCGTGCACAATAAATTAACTATGCAGCGCGTCTTGAACGACATCGATAGCCGAATGAATTCACTGGGTTTGCAGCTCCAACCCAGTAAATGCAGAAGTTTTTCTTTAAAAAAAGGCGTTTCTACAGTTTCCGATTTTTCGATTAAAGGTCAGCGTATAACGAATATCTCTGAAGAACCGATGAAATTTTTGGGAACCTGGGTTTTTGAGAAGCAGCAAACAACTTCAGCTGGTGATAAGATATGCGAAAATTTTTGATAATTTTCTACAGCGTATTGATAAATTGAATTTACGTGATACTTTTAAAATAAAAAATTTACAAAGACTATATGACATCGTGTGTCCGGTTTCTTCTTACGGTACATGATCTGACTCTGTCTGTTGGCAATAAGTTGGAAAGCAAAGTGAATAAATACATCAAAAAGTGGATTGGGTTGAATGATTCCGCGAATTGCGACTACTTCTATTCACCTGATGGCCTAGATCTAAAATCTGTTACTTCTATCTATTTGCAATCGCATGCAGCCTTTCTTGCGGATGCCATGTGTTCTACAGATCTTGTTGTTTCTACTACTGCATCTAAATCCTTGGAAAAATCTTGTTTGTCAGACACAGCTGTTGTTAACATTGTTAACGACACCGTAGAGGCAGGGAAGCAGGCAGGTGTATCAAAAGGGAAAATTAGGAAGTTGGTCAGCGCCAAAGTTCGCTCAGAAAGGACAACTAGGCGAGAAAATAGGTTAAGTACTATTATTCAGCAGGGCGCGTGGAAGGCAGTCGCAGAAGCACAAGCATTGGATACGTTTTGGAAGTCAGTAATATACAACCTCCCAGAGAAGACTGTATCCTTTATGGTTAAAGCGGCTCTTGACATTGCTCCTTCTTTCACTAATCTCTGTAAGTGGGGCATGTCTGTCTCACCTAAGTGTGATCTCTGTGGTGGTGAAAGCGGTACCCTTTGTCATATCCTTAATTGGTGTCCTATCGCTCTCTCTGGTGCACGCTTCACATGGCGACATAACAGTGTTCTGAAAGCTATTTTCGACTGTTTTACCAGTGCGGCTAAGAATGGTAAGTGGGAGGTTCGTTGCGATCTTGACAGCGAGAGCTACGATCGTCATTCCACAACCATCCCAGCCGACATTCTTCCTACTACGCTTTATCCTGATTTAACATGTGTTAACCGAACCGAGAAGCGTATCATTTTAGCAGAGGTAACAGTCCCTTTTGAGTCTGACCAGGGATTCACCAATGCCGAAACGCGGAAGAAGGAGCGCTACTCCGGTCTATGCCGCGACTTGGACCTTGCGGGGTGGGCAGTCGAATACCACCACCTCCCAATCGGCTCTAGGGAATGATCCCCTCGAAAGCCGTGAATGCCATGCACCACATCGCCAATGCGGTAACCAACGGAGGGAAATGCCAGAAAGCCAAACAACTCCCTGAGTCACTCGCAGCTATCGCCCTTAGCTGCAGTTACGTTATTTTCTTGAATAAATCTAATGTTAACTGGGTAGTTCCGGGTCCAAGTGAATTGTTTGCGTATTGATATGCTTTCGTTCATGTCCAGTCGACCTCAGCACGGTCGAAAACGATGCTGTCCCGTTATTCTCTGTACCGCACTTCTGATGTCGATAATTGCCTTGTGAGATGTTCTCCCCTTTTACCTTTATTGCGCATCCTAGTATCTAGCATAATATAAGATTACGGTTGCGACACAAAGTAATACAAAAAGGCGATTACGTGCGTAAGTGTCCGTGCTTTCCTTTTCCCACAAGAAAAATTTCTTTTTCCTCTTTGATTAAAGTTTTTAGCTAATTACCATCACATTTAGTACATTTAGTTTGAATTAGATGTGTGGGTTTTTGGTTTTCTGCATGGACCCCAGCGCGATCGCCTACCCTCCCATTTCTCTATATTCACTTATTCATATAATATTCGCAACCGTAAATCTTTTCATAGGAAGTACCGGAGGCCTGCGCGCCTTTTAATTTCCAGTAAAAATTATTGTAATAGGGAAACGAAGACGCAATAAAGGCTGTGTTTTTTTAATCACTAACTGTTACGTTACTCGAACGGCCCTTACTTGTCCACTGCCGTATACACGATACTCTCGTTGACGGACAGAGATGGGCGCTGCAGAATCATGATCAGACTGTCGTGTCCGATAGTGCTGAACTGCTCCAATCGCAGTACGGCCTCGCTGGAACCGTCCACGATCTCCAGGCACGCCTCCTTAATCGTGACGTTATCAGGGCTCCAACGGTTGGCCTGTGGAGTGACGCAAATTAAAACACTTTTCATTTGTTAACTGAGTACGTAAATTTCATATAAATATTTTTATGCTAGGCGACCAGAACCAACATTTTCCAGCATGGTCAAGCAATTATCTGCATTCAGATGTTGGATGACGTAGGCGCAACAGGTGTCCAAAAGCAAGGGAAAGCCGAATTTGTCAGCGCAGTACAGAGTTGGAAAAACGTTTGCTTTGTTGATGCCATCCACCGAATCCGTGTACACATAACTGAGCAGGTTGGCGAACGCGTTGACAGGAATGTCCGGAAAGTAAACAACCAACGGACACGATCCAGGCACGCGGTCGCTAATGATCGAGTTGAATACATCGCTGCTGTTGCACAGAATATTCCTGCAAAAGCATCAACTGCAATGGAAACCCAACAAGAGAAAACACGCTGATCGTATGTTTACGATTTGTGTTTATCAGTTTGTAATTCCTTTTGCAAGGAAACATACTTGTGCGCGGGGAACGTTTTCTCAGTGCCAAATTGGCGTCCCACAGCGAACTTCACATCGCTGAGCTGTCCACTGGCCAGCATGCGCTTCATGCGATCCAGCACTCCCACAGCGCCACGGCGTTCTGCGCTGGTAGTGGTGACACTGGCATGAGGCTTACTAGCCCCCGATTGCGGTTTTAAAGTCATGGTAGAATCACTTACCACGAATGCAAACGCAGAACCCAGTCAGTTGACTTCTGAGAAACAAATTTTAGATCACCATTAGAATCACTTTGTAATTTTTACCTCCATGCTTTCTGAAAATGAAAATTAATGAGTGTCGTGTGCAATATTGTTGATAGAGGGCGCCACAGACTGATGTCTAGCAAGCGTCTGCAGGCGGTCATCGTGCCCGCTGTCCGCCAGTGCTGTGAAAAACCGACTTCCGGCTACCGGAAACGTATCGATGGTGAAATTTGAATAAACAAAGTGACGCAGATTTCACAGCAACAGATTCAGCGATATTAATATTACACTGTAGGTACAAAGTGATCCAAGTCCTTAAAACCTTTAAAACCTTTAAAACCTTTAAACCTTTAAAAGATTTAAAATTAGATTTGGACCACTTTGTACCTACCCTCAGAACAGCACATAGTTCCGCCACCAACGCTTTTACAAAATGCTGGAACATGTTGGCCGAAATTAAACACATGCTATACTGATATCGATGAATTTCATGGTCCATCAGTTGAAACAACCAACACGTTCGGCACAAATACAAATTAACAACCAATCAGTTCAATTCGAACCGGCGACATCCGGTGAACGCCTCCGCTTCGGAACGGAATCAGTCTTCCCGGTGCCGTTCTTCCTGGTCTTCTTCCATGCCATCACCTCCGGATGTCCTAAGTAAATCTGGTTGAATCCAACTCTGCGTTTCATGTATCCACCCGCCAGAGCGATCAGATGGCAGCCATGCTCCGCTCTGATGTACGTGCCTTCTCTATGATCGTAAAACACCGATTGACCGGAGTATAAGTAGTCGGCTGCGCGAACGATTTCCTCTTGATCTGGGTTTACTGTCATCAGGGTTTCGCCCTCATCATCATCGACATTATGATCCTCGTCGTCATCGCTAGTGTCACGCAGATGCAGGCAGAGGAAGCCTGATCCACGCGTTCCCATCACCAGTGCAGGAAAGAACAAGCTATAATCATTGTAAAATATTTTCTCCTGGTGCTGGAATTCCAAGTCGCGGACACGGATGACTGGAGGCCGGCGGGGATGCATGGGAAATCGTTGTTTGTCCTCGCGTATCTCTTTCAACGTTGATGCATCCAGCATTCCTCCCTTCGCACACAAATCGTTTATGTAATCGTAAAATTCTAACATACCGTATGATTAAAAACGTCAACAATTTTCACTACTTTTACGAAATTATGTACTAACCTAGTAATAATTTTCAATCGTACTAGTATATCAGGCAGCAGCGAATAGCAATTGCCTTTACATAAATAATTCATTTTACTTTCAAATTTGAATTTTTATTGCTGGTATATGTCCGTCAGAAGCAAACGCTTCAATCGCCTTACTTCTGCAGACAATCCAGAAATTTGCTTTTTGGTCAACAGAGGGAATCTGATCAGATAAAACTGATCTCCCAGAACCTCCCGCCGGTTGGCGGGTGAAGGCTCCAAATTGTCCCGAGTACAGGCAGCCACCGCAAACCTACCAGAACAAACTTCACAAATCTGAAACACACGTCTAATTTCTACAAGGCTACAAGCTACCCTTAGTCTAACAACCAAAAGGTTTTTCAGTTACTCCGATCGACACTTATGAATTTCAATTGGGCGGACGGACCAGAAGTCACTGCCGGCTTTTTCTGCTGATATTTTTTTTCTCTGTATTTTTATGTACTCACCATAAATTCTAACTATAGATAGTTAAACTCGTGCACATTTCATTACACACTCCAATGACTTCATTATAAGAAGACAGTGAACCAGCGGCTTGCATTCTTTAATTACCTATCCACAGCCGCGTAAATGAGCGCCTCTTCGGCCAAGAAGGTGTCGCGTTCCAGAAGTGTACGCAGTGTGCTGGGCTGTAATTCCGTGAAGCGTTCCGATTTGAGAACTTCCTTACAGTGCACGTCCACGTAATGCAGACAGTTTTCGACAACACTATCGAGACCAACAGCCCACGCCAACGCCTACACAGCAGTTCAGTAAAATACCAAGAGCGATAGTACAAGCATTAGCAGACCTACATTCTCCAGATGCACTAAATAGCGAGCAGGGTCGGCTTCCTTGCCGTTCCTCGACATGAGATCCCGCATGACGAATTCGAAGCAGATGTCAGCCAGCAGTGGCAAGTCGTATTTGTCGGCGCACTTCATCGTCGGAAAGACATCCTCCATGGTCACGTTTTCGTTATCGACATAGATGTATCTATTGTGACGCACAATACAGAATTTAAGCCAATGAACCGTAGCTCATTTAGCAAACAAGATCCAAGCTTTCCAAGCTCATTTTTAATCTTTAGTCTTACTTGGCTTTCCAAGCTCATCTTTAATCATCCGAGAAAATTTTATCACAGTCATTACGCAACTTCAGTTTTCGCTATAACTGTGTAAAACGTCGAAACATTAGTAAAGATACGTACTTCAGCATTTTTCGAAGCCTTCAGGAGGAATATCCGGAAGATCGATAGCACCGTCGCATTTCTCAGGCAGACTTCCGTTAAACATGGCGTATAAGACATCGCTGGCGCTGCTCAGCACGAACCTGTTGAATAAATCGCCAAAAAGTGAATAAATAAATGAGCTACTTGTATTATATCGGACGCGACGTATGGACCACGTCTTTATGTGCGCTGTATGTAACGCTATTCCTGAACCCGAAAAAGCTAGTCCCGGCTGAGGAAAATCAAAAATTTCAGGGTTAGGTATATACCTAACCAAATTTCAGATATACCCAAAAAAAGCACAGACCGACAAAATTTATGCGCATTATTCTGTTTAGTTATGCAGGAGAGTGACGAGATCGTAGGAATGCGTCTAGAGGGCTAACATTAACGTACTTGTGGGCTTTGAAGATCTTCGCTGTGCCGAAATCTCGCCCCACGGCAAACTGCACATCGCTAAGATCACCACTCTCCAACATGTGCTTCATCCGCTGAGCGATCGAGTGAATCCTGCCTCGTGGGGTGCTGGGTCTGGACGGCTGCCGTGCAGTTTGTGCCATTTCGACACATGCGCAGTGGATGCTCTCCTAAGATTTTGAGTTTTGACAGCATAAATTATCGTGAGATTAAAACCTCTCAATGGCAGAGTAATAATAATTCTTAACGTAAGATTATCGAGAGTTAACAAGGATTCGCCATCACTGCTCATGCATAACAAAAAATTCAAGTTGCAGATCGTCAGTTCGAAACGGCAAGATGTGAAAAATTACGAGTTTTATGACTCAGTGTTCGGACGAAGAACTGCTTTTTGACACTTTTTACAGAAAACGCAAAACTGAAGATTTTGTTCTGCTGCAGTGCACACTGCACACCGGAAGTAGACCCTACTCAAACCATCGCCCGCATAAGGTGGAGTTTATCAGGAATGCGCACCTAGGCAACCACCCGTGAATGCCTTTCTGTATGATGGAACGTTTTCCATTATTCGGCAACAACCAGCCCGCGTTCTAATAAGCCGGCGTAGGTGCCAACTGCCAAGTGCATGCATACAAAAAAATGAACCTCTGTAACTTAAGTGCGTCTGTAGATTATTCAGCAATAATGTCCGCTCGAAGTGGCGGTGCGATAAAGAATGTATTCCGCAAATAATAATCTGTAAGGCGCAGTACGTAATGGCTGCCTTTCTTAGTTAACTAGTACTTCCGAGGCTTATTGTTACGGTAAAGCTGATCGGTTTGGTAGCCGAAATTTGCTGTAAAAACAAGCTAATTTCAGACAACACGGCACCGCTGCATTACGGTAAAGCTGATCGGTTTGGTAGCCGAAATTTGCTGTAAAAACAAGCTAATTTCAGACAACACGGCACCGCTGCACGGACAAGAAAACCATTACCGGAAAAAATGCGAATTTTTCAAGTCTGCCAGCTGGAAATATCGACTGCAGCGCGTCACCGTTAACTTATTCCATAAGCGCTTAGATTTACGACGCAAGCCTTTATGGAAGGTGCTTTCTGACTTTCCACATGGTAACAAATGGAAACTAGTTGGGACGCTCGAAGCAACACTTCTAACAACGATGTAATGGTTATTGGTTACAAATAAAACTGATACGTAAGTACAAATGTACAATAACCGATTTAATTCATAATAACTGATTTCATGCATTAACAGTTTTGACTCTTGCCTGGATACGGTTAAATGGGCGGATTTAAAATGGACTAAGCGTTTCCTTCAACTTTATGTCGAGCATTACTGTTTGCTGTAAAACTTGTTGTCTTGATTTGCGATGTTTTACATGTAAGGCGGTCACTGATGCGAGAGGCCTTTCTTCCATGTTAGTCTATGACCTCGTGCAGGACATCCCTGATTGTTGTAGACAATCAACAATCAGGGATGTCCTGCACGTTAGGCAAACAAACTTATTAAACAAACAAGCAAACAAACAATAGAACCGATATCAATGATATCAATATCAATAGCAAAGCAGTCCGCGCGCATCCCGGTTTAGGAATTTCAAAGGGACTTATCCAAGAAACTTGCGATCGGCCACACTGCACTCCCGGATCACCTCGGGCATCAATCCGGATCGTCGAAATCAACAACCATTTCCCGGCGATCCACTTCAGCACGTGCTTACTATCGCGCCGCATGCAGTTCGCTCAACTTGGTACTATAGCCGCGGATCCCACGCAATGCACCCCCTGCATATATATCCCCCTATTAATAACATTTATATGGAAAGACAGTTTCATATGTTTCGGATGAGTGGCTCACAGATAACAGCATATGATTCACGAGTGCACATGTCGGTTCATGGAAATCGCTTACAGCGCTGACTGATAACGCCTGGGCAGTTATAATTTTGTCTCGTTCGTTACGAATTTTATCATGGTTTGGCAAATTTTGTTCGGAAAATACAAGAACTAATTCCAGCTGACAATTACCTGTCGGCACTTAGCTTCTACACATAAACCAACATGTTTATGTGCACACGCTCAGTTCTAAGCACTTTATATAATGTTATGTATTACAATTAAATATAATGTTATGTATTACAATTAAATACTTTTTCGTTTTTTTAATTATTTAAAAGCGCAATGCGAACGTATGTGATACGGTTCGGTACAATAATGCATTTCGGGACTTCCGGGCGTATTACTATAACCCTTTAATAACAAACACTATGCATGTATAGAGATATAACTAAAAATTTTGCTCTTTGAAAGATTAGGGTTTTCTTAGCTTTTTATTCGTGATAATCGATTCTGAAACCTGCCTGTAATACAGTACATAGTTTAATATGCATAAGGCCGTGCACTATGCATTATTATGCATCTGCATATACGTACATAATTATATGTGTATATATATATAGGTAACACTTTATAATAACTTTTATACTATTCACCTTCGCAGACCTTCGCAGATTTAGAGAGAAATCTACGTAGAGACAGTACGGACAATAACAGCGATACAACTTGCGGACTTGTGCATTTCGTTAGCAGCTGAAAATTGAGTACGATACTGTATTAATGACAGTCGACATGTGTAATTTTTCATACGTGCCATGAAATACTAACCGATTCCGTAAACCGAATTGAGACTTGGCTTTACCGACACTAGCCTGCATTTTTATTTTACCGATAACGTTAATTACTTAAAAAATTAATGGCTTTCTATCTGCAAATTACACCGGTTCCTAACACCGCTTTTATATATAGTACTTACTACTACACTTTAAAACAACTGTATGCTTAAACTTTTGATAAACGCGGAAAGTGCTTACATTCTTTAAGAGGCCAAATACCTCGTACTTTACCGGTGATAAAGTTAAATACATCTAACAATAAATACAGCTCGATGTGCGTACTTACATAACAAATCATTATAAATGTATATAAACTCCCAGTACTTATTTAAAGAACACCGCTGAAGTAATACATTGTTTGTTTCATTTCATATTTCTATTCATTAATCTTATTCATTATGATTAATTACTGTAATAGAAGACACTCAACGGTTAATAGCTGAACTCCCACATGCATGCATGCAACAGACGCGCACGGTCGCGTACGTACTCTTATATACAGCAACACTCGTTTATAATAAGTCGTAACATTACTCGTAGGGTATATAATGATCTCAAAAAAAGTCTCTTATCAGGATTTCACACGGAGTCGCGTCGCAACGGCTGAAAGCGCCACACAGTTTCATTGCGCGCGGCAAAAGTTGTCAGTGATGCAAAATCAAAACTTAGTGTTTTTAGTCCATCGCAAGCTGCATACCGCACTGCACCACTAAATCTTCATTAATTTTTACTGGTTTTACGTTTCCCAGTAAATAATTATCGGCAAGCGCCAGTTCATACAGGACTGTTGTAACTTATTGGGATGATAACGGAGCATCGGGCTGTGTCGTTGCGTCTTTTAGGCGTTGATTTTGAATCGTCTGAACAGTGGAGCCGTATTTTATTACAGATTTATATCTTTGCTTTGTGAAGCAGCGATTGCGAATTGTTGCACAGTTATTGTGCGCACTGCACCGTGATGAATCTCTAATTGCTTCACAAAAGAACACACGTTTAATGATATGAAGCGAAAATGGACTAAATGGTTTGTTGTACAAACCATTCACACAGAAACCGGCAGCGGTCCGTCGAATGTAGTGAACGAAATGCTTGTCACCGGAAAGGATGAATATAATTTTGCAAAAATGGGATTAATTAAATGTTCGTGTGCCGGTGTTATTTCTATCAGTTAAAAACTATTGCAGCATTTTAACACAATAACTCCTCCTGAATCTAAATCGCCCCGCTGGTTAATAAAGAAAAACGTCTAATACAAATGAACCCGCACAAGCTCATTAATACAGTTACTGCTTAACTTAGTATCGTACTACAGAATACTAATACAATATTAAAAAGACAGCCGCAACGATTTGGGGGGGGGCACAATTGTACCGACAAATTATTATGATTGTTAATTGCTATGTCGGATCACGACCAAATACTTCCAGGACAAATTTTGTCTTTTTCGAGACAAAAAAACACTGATTTAATGGTGATTGTGATTCATACGTTTCCCGTATGAGTAAACGTCTAAGTAAATGTACCGATATTACTATGATTCATATATCTATTATTGATGGGGTCCCAATATCCGCCGCTCGAACGACTCGCTGCCTCAACGTTGTGTTGATCTTATGATCCTCTCGGCATAACTGGACGACCATGTCCCGTCCCTATTCATCAACCGGTCTTATATTTCGGTCTTTCCCGTCGGTTACCCTTTTTATAGGTAAACCGGCCACCGTGCAGTCACTGCCAGCGTAAACCGACTGCGATTAACACCGCGGGCTTGGCCATTGGTAAGAAGGTTGTCAGGTAGAGACGGCCGGAAGTGCAAAAATCCATGTCACGTTTTCCATTGTGCTAACAAGAATTAGCCGCGTTTTGTCGGTAAGCTTCTTGCCGTTTACCGACCGAGCCTGGGATGTAGGATTAAAGTATGATGATTAATTGTACTGGCACATTAATTGTCTTCTAGTGACACTATCTGTTTTTTTTATTCCACGGTTTAACGCAACCATAAAACTTTCCACACGTAAAATTGCTCGTATGAAATATGAACAAAATAACCCAAACAAATCAACTGAAAGCATATCTAAAGCCCGAACCAAACATTTGGAACAGATGTCCAATAAAAGGGGCAAAAGCAACAGTTTTTTAACCGAAGCATTCATTGATTGATGCAAATTTAGATGCTTCTCATCCTTTGCTCATTGCTAGACAGATGTAAGATCATGGGGACCATACAGTATACGAGTACCAAAATTATGCCATTGCTCGAATTATAAAATTTATAATATACAGAAAAACACGCAGAAGTTAAGTAATCGTGGCAATAAAACATTTTTGATAGTTTCGAACTCAAGGTTAATTCAATAGGGAGTTAGCTGAGTAAGCCAACGCTACAAAAAATAACGCAGTAAATAAGTATGACTTGTTACGTTATTGTGATATCTCAAAGAACTGTTGAAAGTGGCTGTCCATTATCGTGGCAGCTGATCTTCTACGTTTGTTTACAACCTCGTGCATTTATTAAGCTGATTAAACAACAAACAGCAAACAAAACATTGGAATATCTGCTCAGAAATGCGAAATGCTACACTGACAAATTCAATGGTCCATCAGTTACAAACAGGGTGAAGCAACATGATCGGTACAAACCCAAAAACTAATCAGCTCAAAGCAAGCCAGCAGCATCCGATGAACGCTTCCGATTGGAAACGGAATCTGCCTTGACGTTGCCATTCTCCCTAGTTTTCTGCCACGCTATCACATCCGAATGTCCTAGATAAATTTGGTTAAATCCAACTCTGCGTTCCTTAAATTTGCCCGCCGGAAGAATGACATGGCAGTCACGACCCTCCGATCTAATGTACGTGGCATCGTCATATTTGTAGCAGATGGGTTGACGGGCGGTTAAGTAGTCGGCTGCACGAACGATTTCGTCCGGGCGTACTCTCATCAGGTATTCGCTGTCGTCATCAGTATCATCATCATCGTCCTTATCGCTAACATCACGCAGACGCAGGCAGAGGAAGTCTGATCCGCGCGATCCCATCACGAGTGCTGGAAAGTACAGAGTCATATCAGCGTAAAAAATCTTCTCCTGGTGCTTGAATTCCATGTCGCCGACACGGATGACCGGGTGCCGGCGGGGCTGCGTCGGAAATCGTTGTTTGTCCTTGCGCATCTCCATTAACGCTGATCTATCCAATAACCCACCCTATGCACACAAAACGTAATAATTTAATTGCTGAGAGACCGCTGATAATAACTCTACATGCTGCTGATAGTTTATCGGGCAACAACTACTACAGCAACCATGATTGACCCATAAGGTGATCATGCTTCCAGAACCTATTGAAACTTAAATTTTACAAAATCAACAAATCGATGTATTTACTCGAAATAAAGTAACGTTTTAGACCTATTCCATGAGTTGGCAGTGCCCATGAGTTGGCAGCGCCTTCGCGTCTTTTTGACGTCAAAAACGACGCTTCAAGAAACCGGTCCAAAAACTGTTTCTTAATTTCGGGTAAATAAAGTACGTTGACTGTATCTGACAGCAGCTACATCAGTAAATGTTAACAGATGCTGCTTTTTTACGAATTTCGTTGGTATTTATTTTCGAATTTCAGTTAGGATTGCTGCTATTTGACTGTCCCCAGCCAAGAGTTAATCCCCTTACTTCTGCAGGCACGCCAGCCACTTGCATATCGGTCATGACTGGGACTCGGATCAGGTCAAAAATGTCTCCCAGGATTTCGCGCCTGTTAGCGGGTGTTGGCTCCAAACAGTCCCGAGCGCAGGCAGCCGCCGCCCATCTACAAAAAACCCAAGTTCACAAAACATAAGCACACGATAACAAGCTACTTGTACGTTAGTCTGACAAGCAGAAGCTTTTTTCAGTAACTCCGGTCGTCGTAAATCGTAATTCGAAGGTGAAGCACTTACGACACTTTTGAATTACTATTGGGCGAACGAACCGAGAGTCACTTCCGGCTTGTATTTGATGGTATTCTAATTTCGTTTGTATATTTTCTTATTACAAGTTCCATCACGGTTCTGTTCATCGTGCTCATTTCTTCATTTCTTGTACCTATATATTAACAACATTAAACCAACCGTATGTGCTCACTAACCGATCAACAGCCATGTAAATGAGTGTCTCTTCGGCAAAAAACGTCTCGCGTTCCAGAATTGTGCGCAGTGTGTTGGGCTGCAATGCTGTGAATCCTTCCGACTTGAGAAGTTTCTTACAGTGCACGTCTACGTAATGCAGACAGTTTTCCACGACACTGTCGAGACCAAGAGCCCATGCGTTGGCGTGGGCTGCAGTCGCCTATACAGTAATTAGTCCTGTTTGAAGTAATAATTATAATGTGCGATAGTACAGGCAGGAGTAGACAAACATTTTCCAGATGCAGCAGGTAACGGTTAACATCGGCTGTCTTGCCATTGTTCGACATGAGATCCCGCATGACGAACTTCAAGCAGATGTCGGCCAGCAGTGGCAGGTCGTATTTATCGGCGCACTTCAACGCTGGAAATACATCCTCCACGGTCACGTTTTCGTTATCGGCATAGATATATCTGCACAGGTCGTAAATGTATGTTCATTGGACAGTAGCCCACTAAACGAGCCAAGAATGTTAAAATCTACTCGATTTCAAAGCTGATCTTTAACCATTTATTTGCCCCGAGAGTAATTTGTCAAAGGTATTACGTAACTTACATTATGAACTTGTATATGCGTAAGACAACGAAGCATTTTTGCTCTAACACGTACTGAAGCATTTTTCGAAGCCTTCCGGAGGTATATCCGGAAGAACGATAGGGACGTCGCACTTCTCAGGCAGACTCCCGTTGAACATAGTGTAAAAGACATCGCTGGCACTGCTTAGCACGAACCTGTTAAAGTTAAAAGTCGTTAAATAAATTACTTACAGATACTAGTTACTGGGGTTGTACCGGACGCGACCTTTCAACCAACTTTTAAATGTCTCTTACATGTAACTCTTATTCTTCAGTCAAAAAATGTTTGTCCCAGGTGAGGAAAAGTAAAGCTTTCAGAGACAGCGAGAAAAAAACATAGAGACCGAATCTGATCTACGAGAATCGCATGAGACGCAATGTTAAGTAAGTACTTGAACACTATCCTAGGCAAACAAGTGCGAGTCTAGTTTGATAACTTTAATGTAGTACTTGTGAGCACTGAAGTTCTTCGGGGGTCCGAAATCTCGCCCTACGGAGAACTGCACATCGCTCAGGTCTCCACTTTTCAACATCCGCCCCATCCGCTGAGCGACCACGTGAATCTTGCCTCGTGGGGTGGGTGGGATCGGTCGCGGCGCAGTTGTTGACATTTCAATAGATGCACGGTGGGGTACGCTCCTTCGCTCCTATGGATATTGACAGCACGAAACGGAATTGACAGCGCTTAAATGTAAGAATACTAATTTTTTGTAACGTTCTTATCGAGATTTAACAAGGCTGCTTCGTCTCTGTTGTACCGTATGCAAGAGAAAGAGAACAAACGCTGCAGTCGTTAGTTCGAAACGCCAAAATGCATACTCGTATACATTTTTGGCGACGAAATATTTTTTACACAAAGAGCGAAACTGAATTTTTGTTCTGGTGCAGTTGCACACTGCACACCGGAAGTGGATTTTTTACAAACCGTCGCCCGCATAAGATCCCGCTTTATCAGGAATGCGCACCCTATCGACCGCCCGTGAATACTGTTCTGTATGATGGATAAATCATAATTCAGCGTCCACTCAGCATCAACCTATAACTCAGAGTGCCCTACCGGTAGATGTGGCGGTGCTGGCTGTATTTTTATTATTGCTTCCGGCGATTTTTGGTAAACTGGTAAGTACCAACGGTCCCGTAACCGGAAATTACTGTAAAGAAAGCTGGTTTCAGAAAAGGTCCCCTTGAAATTAAGGGCAAAAGTATGACAGAACACGTATTCTTATCGTCCGCCAGCTGGACATGATCAAGTGCAATGCACCACTTGCACGGATTCCGTAAATTGTTTCGTTGTAATTAACGCACGCCTTTATGAGAAATGCTTTCTGATTCTCACTACATTAGTAATCTAAGGGTTGCACCGCTCAAACAGCAACTGATATGCAAAAAGAATAACAAAATAATGTAATTCATAAGAGAATAGATATAAGTATGCGCACTGCGCAACTTATTCCGTACTCCGGAGCAGGATTCCGGAAATATGGGGAGGCTTATCCAAGGAGCTGGCTGTTGGCTGCCTGCCAATCCCGGACCACCTTCTCGGGTATCATCAGATCAGCAAAATCAACCACCATTTCCCGGCCGTCGACTTCCACCACGTGCTTATCGTCGCGCGACATGCAGTACATGCCCGCGGCCTCCCAACACTGCACCCTCTGGCCAAATGTAAGAATGTCCGCCGCACGAATGACCCGCCGCCTCAACGCTTGGTTGAGCTTGTGATCCTCCCGGCACCACTGGACGACCATGTCCCGTCCCCATTCCTCAACCACCTTCCCCGGATAGTAGTCACCGCCGCAGCATTGCGCGAACACGGCCTCGCGATACTGGTACGGACCAACGCGGTATTGGACGGAGGTGCGCAGCTCCGCTGGAAACGGGAGTGCTGGCTTTTCCGGGGCGTGTTTGTGCAGAAATATATCGCGTAGCTCGGTGGGCAGCAACAACCCACTCTACACAGCAAAGGCACAACAAGATTAACAAGTCATTTTTACAAAACAAAATTTAAAAGGAAACACAGTTTCCGGCGATCGGAAGTGATGGATCCGCAAGTTATTTTGCGATGCCCGACAAAATGTACTCGTCCTGGAAATCAGGAAATACAAATCCAAACTCACTTGGATCGGCCCAGCTGCCAGTTGGACATCGGTTAAGAGCGGAAAGCGGACGAGAAAGAGCGCCGCACCCAGCACTTCGCGGCGATTGGCGTAGGACGGTTCCAAGTTACGTTCTTGACAAGTCTTTGCTGCCCACCTATTTGAACAAACCAGCAGTGCAATTTGGTCCGCACATGACAAGAATTTGCACTTTTGAACTGTCATTACTTCTCCACTGCCGTGTACACGGTATTCTCGTCAACGGAAAGAGATGGTCGCTGCAGAATCATCTGCAGACTGTCGTGTCCAATGCTGCTGAACTGCTCCGATCGCAGTATATAGGCTCACTGGTTGCGTCAATGATGTCCATACATTTCTCCACAATCTTAACGTGGCCAGGGCTCCAACGGTTGACCTGTGGAACCGACGTATTATTAACCATGATTTTATCCAGGAGAATTCACGGGCTATGATAAACCTTACATTTTCCAGTGTGCTCAGGCAGTTGTCTGAATTCAGATGCTTGTTTATGAAGTCACAGCAGAAATCCCCCAAGAATGGCAAAGCAAATTTGTCAGCACAGTGCAGAGTGGGGAAGACGTTGTCTACACTGATGCCTTCCACCGAATCAGTGTACACATAATTGAGTAGATTGGCGAACGCTTCGGAAGGAATGTCGGGGAAGTGGATGACCAGCGGGCAAGACTCGAGAATGCTGTTGCTGATCATCATGTTGAACACATCGCTGCTGTTGCACATTATGCTCCTGCAAAAACCACTCACCTCAAAGACTCACACTCATATCGCCTAGTTCGTGTAATTTCCAATTAGTAAGCGCGTGTACTTGTGCGCGGGGAAAATTTTCTCAGTGCCAAATTGGCGTCCCAAGGCAAACTGCACATCGCTGAATTCTCCGCTGGCCAACATTCGCTTCATGCGATCAGCTAGTACTCCACCAGAGCCGCGACATTCTGTGCTGCCAGTGGTCGTAGCACCGGTAGCAGTGCTGCTGGCGTCCGAAGTCGGGTTTAGGCACATAGTGGAGTGATTTGCCATGAAATACTAACTATCTTCACTTTTATATTCTGGGCGAAATCCACTTGACTTTCGAGCCAAAGAAAACGAAAAAATATTGTCACAAGAAATTTTTCAGTCGAGGCGGAGGTGGCTCCCACTTCTTCGGCTTGAACGGTTAAACCGTTGTACGAAGGCTTTCATGTCAGCACCTGCAGGCGGTCACCAAGCTAGGATTAAATTGTGTAGTGTAAAATACTAAAATGGACTTCCGTCTAGAGCGGTAAAAGCAACAAGTTATTGGAATTTGTTGCAACTATAGAACTAAAGCAGGCAGACTCCATTAATGGAACCTTTAACGTGCTATTGGAAAATTGTTTTGGAAAAATTTGGAAAATGGATATTTTTTTGAGTGTGATTTTATGCGATAACAGTTTGAACAATGATGTTATGCAGGTTTTACCTTACCTACCTTTTTATCGGCAGATGACAAATTATTGTAAACGGAACATTTTACGAGCACTTAATCCACTATGTAATACGGGCTAGTGAGAAAAATACGCCGATCTGATTGCTCTGTACAAATTTTATCAGTTCACACCACCAGCTCATAAACTAATGGTTAACAACTCAGGCTTCTAAGAATAACAGTAAGGTGGCCCAACATCATCACCAGTGCCCAACAAAAGCGGCAGTAAGTTACCATGCTGGCACAGGTTAAAAACTGAAACATTTGTTTCAATTTTTAACCTGTGCCAGAATGACAACTTTCAATATCCCTCAACAGTAAACAAAAACCGTCTCAGTAGCGATCAATCATTTCCAGACAAGCCAGCAGCGTCCAGTGAACGCTTCCCCGTTGAGACGGAAGGAGCCTTTCCGCTGCCGTTCGCAATGGTCTTTCTCCACGCTATCGCCTGATCATATTCTAAACAAATCTCACTAAAATTAACTTTGTATTCTCTGTTTGACCCAGCAACGATGTGACGGCCGTTCTCCGATCGGATATACTTCACTTCGCTGCGACAGAAGAAAACGGGCTGATGGAGCGTGCAGTAGTCTGCTGCGCGAATAAGTTGCTCTGGGCTGAGCTTAAGCAGGTCGTCATCGTCATCATCATCCTCATCGTCATCTTCGTCTTCCAGAGGCACGCAGACAGCGGTTGATCCACGCGATCCGATCACATGTGCAGGAGTGCAGTAGGGCGGCTTAAACACAAATACTTCTTCCTGGTGCTTGAATTCCATATCCCCGACCCGGATGACTGGTTGCCGGCGGGGTAGAGCGTTGAAGCGGTGTCTGTGATGGAATATCTCCACTAACGCTGAAGCCTCCAGGAATCCACTCTGCGCAAATAAATGAGAGTAATCACAAATTATCGCAAATAAATGACAGTAAACAAATCTAAATAATCGGTTCAAGCCGTACTACATGCACATTTAATATTTGAATCATATTTCAGCAATCAGAAAATCAAATATCGCCGTTTCGGTCTATACTGAGTTAAAATCGCGATTTTTTTGTCTTCGCCATCCCAGCTACAATAAATTATAAAGGTTATTTTGTGATCATGCTACGTGAGATAATTCAAATAACACTGTAGGTTAGGTGACTTGGACCAACCAAAATCTGAATTTCATGTTGCTCAAACACCTGTAACGGCTTGAACTTGAAATTAGTTAACTTGCATTATTCTTTATTTTTCGAAATTTATTTATTTTTCGAAATTGTTATTCGAAATTATTAATTAATTTTTTTATTTATTATTTAATCATTAAATTTGATCCTTCGAAACTAATTTGCCTGTGAATAGCCGCAAAAAGCATAATCTCAATGCCATACTTCTGCGGGCATTTCAGTCAGCTGCATGACAGTCATCACCGGGAACCGGATCAGGTAAAACAGCTCCCCCAGGACCTGGCGCCGGTTTACAGCCGACGGCTCCAAATTGCTTCGGGTGCAGGCAGCAACCGCCCATCTGCGAGAAAAATTCAGTCAACAGTTGTCAAATGAAATTCTCAAAGGAAGCGCCTGCACTACAAAGTGTTTTTTGTTCGACCATTCGTAGTTCACCACTAACTCACATGTATTAACTTAACATTAGCTTTTTCAAGTGTCAGCGATAACGAGTAAGTACTAGCACTAGAACTAGAACGTACTTGTATCTATTTTGTTTGATGGACGAAAAGCCACTTCCAGCATGAGCTTATGGTATTCTTATTAAGCTTTCAGTTACAGATTTTAATTTTTCTTATAATCCTGTCTAATTCGGCCCACTAACCCCTCACAGAACACTGAAATATCGTCTAACCCTACTTACCGATCCACAGCCATACAAATCAGGCTCTCTTCAGCAAACAGCGTGTCGCGTTCCAAAATGGCACGCAGCGTGTTGTACTGCAATTCCGTGAACCGTTCAGATCTGAGGATTATTTTACTGTGCACATCCACGAAATGCAGACAATTTTCCACGACACTTTCGATACCAACAGCCCACATAAGCGCCTACACAGAGAGCCCGAGGATTGAGAATATACTGTAGTGTAGACAATGAAATTCAATAATTATTTCACTTCTAAATATAACCAGACATCTGTACATTCTCCAGATGCAGTAAATAGCAATCGGCATCGCGAAACTCCGGGATGAGATCCTGCATGAAGAAACCGAAACAGAAGTCGCCCAGAAATGGCAAGTCATATTTGTCAGCGCACTTCATCGTCGGGAAGACATTCTCCACTGTCACATCCGCCTTGTCAGCATAGATGTATCTGTCGTAATAATTCTTAATGGAGAACCAAGTTCGCTTAACCATCTCTCTTTCGGTAAACCAGCTTAAAAGTACCTCTATTTGTACTTTAAATCGTGCGATAATCCCCGAACACTTTTGTTGCATTTTCTGAAAGATCGTTTTACATCGAACGACACACCATTTTTTTCAAATTCTAAAATGGATTTTTAAAATTTTGCAGTTCATTTGCAAATGCGAGAAAAATATCCGAACCGTGGTTCGGTGTAAAAAACGATTTTCATGCATAGGCATCTAAGTGTACATGCAAGATTTAAATTAAAGGGGATCGGTCCACAATGAGAATTTTTGGTACATCAGATTATCAGAACACATGAAAAACTTAAAATTTCCTTACAGCCGTAACTCCCGAATCATATTACTCGCATTACATATAGTGGCATAAACAGTTTTCACGCCAATATGTTTAAAATCACTCGGGCTACACAATCATCACAATGCCATATAAATCCAAGCAAAAAAGTCTTTGGGAGTACGCGACATCGCATGTTATCGTGCATGCACATTACCAAATCCAGGATTTGGTAATCGCGTACAAACTGATCCAAATGTCAAAAGCGTCGCAATGTTTACTTACTTGAGCATATTTTCAAATGCTGGGGGAGAAATTTCCGGAACATCAATGGCATCATCCCGATTCTCAGGTAGGCTCCCGTTAAACATGGTGTAGAAGACATCGCTAGCGCTGCTCAGCACCAACCTGTTCGAATTTACGAATCAACACAGATTAGCACACCTCGATTTCGCAGGAAAATTCAGCAGCAACACTGCATCAGGCATAAAAGTGGGATAAAGTCAGCTCACTTGTGGGCTTCGAAAATCCTCGCTGGTCCGAAATACCGACCCACGGAGAACTGCACATCGCTCAAATCTCCACTTTTCAACATCTGCTCCCATCGCTTCAGTGCCCCTTCAATCGTGCCACGTCGAGGGACGCTGGCTTCGGTCGATCGGAGCGGAAAATTCGACATGGCTACCACGCTGGGATACGCTCATAGGCTCGTACTGATACCTTAAAGATACTTATTACAACAGCCTCCTGATGTCAGATAGAAGCTGATGTGGTCGTAAAGTTACTAGACTGGCGAATCGCTGCTCCGTGCATGAGAAAATCAAGGCAAAAAAGTCCGGGAAAAATCACTCTAAAATCGCTAATGCGGAATAATAGATTTGACATATTTTTATCGAAACTGAGGAAACCCTGGCAGAGATCTGCTAAGGAAAATTCATTTCAAAATTGTCAGGTGTATTTGCTAAGGCGCACACCGGAAGCTGATCGTCTGGGCAAACCGCTGCCCGCATGCAGGTTATCAGTTATTCCGTGCACCAGGGCGACCGCCTGTAACTAAAGTTCCGTATATTCTGTCGACCAATGTCCACTCTTACTCTGTGCCACACTGTCGCTTGTCAGCCACCTTGGGTGCAGCATCGTGCCGTGCGAACTACTGACTGGATTTTAATTTCGGAGCAAATCAGAAAAATTGTAAATACTTTGTACTTATAAATCAAAGGCTGGTCGCACAACTAGTGCGTCAATTTTCAACATGAAACTTAATGCGTGCCATAAATGATGCAGTCGGTGTGATTTATTGGTTAGCTGCACAAGCGCAGCGGCGGCATTCGCTAAGAGCGCAGCTGGCACTGGTTCGAGTCGTATTTTAAATTTAAATTGGTAAATTAACAGTATCCTCGTGTCACAAGTGTCCGCCCTTTTTATTGTTAGGCAAATTCAACAATTTTACAGACTCTGCAAATAGCGCATGAAAATAATGACAGGTAGCTATAAAAGGTAAAAAACTAATGCTTGTACCAGAAAACTAAAAATCGTCTTGTGTCGGAAATCGTATTATTTCGTAATGCACAAGGTATTCCATAACCGGGTTTAGGACAGAAAAAAATGGGGCTTATCCACGCAACTTGAGATTGGCACCCTTCGACTCCAAGAAACACTTTCTCCGAGAGCATCTGATCCGCGAATTTTGCCATTTCCCGGCCGCCTCCAAGGCGCGCAATCTGGTACTTAATAAATTAATTATGCCTTCCGTTACCGTTAGTGTGATGGTAGAAGAAGCCAGTATGTTGTCATGGTATCTTTTCCCTTTATCGCTTGCAACCCTCTTGACTCGACAGCGAACTGGCGGAAGTTCTCCAGAAGTGCTTGGCTGTGTGGGCTCAAATGAATGTGTCCTGGCAAGCCGTGACTGCACATTCGGGAGGCCATGTTGATTGTGTCACCGAACCTGTCATGTAAAAGTTGCTGAGAACCTTCTCTTGATTGTTACTTCCGCATTTGGTTTCAAAGTTATCCTTCGCCCAGTGCTTTCAAGAGCGCAATATTCGCAGTTGTAAATATCTGCTCAGAAAGTAAAATTCTTCAGTGGCACCGTATGACGTAGCTTACAGGCAATAGCGTGGCCGTTTCAGTCCCATAAGTCCAGCGGCGCATGGACCTAAAAACAACTGTCACCGACGCCCGAACTTTACCTGACGACACGACCCATAACTACCATGTTTACCGGAATGCATGCCAATCTTAAATTGTAAATTCAGCAGAAAGGTCGACTGATGTTTAGCCTCCATTAGCTTAATCACAAATCCCGCCATCCTTTGGATGTGGTTTTTTCCGATGCGCTCTGGCAGTCCACTCGCTACCTGCATACGAATATGCTTCTATCTGTGAGCAACCTTAAATTAGTCAACATAATCGGTGAATACCATAAACGAATCCATAACTGCCTCCACTTTGTAGACCTCGCACTCCGTTGACAGTCTGTCGATAAAAGCTTCCGTGGCCGCGATCAAGGATATCGTCATCTCCGGCGAACTACTTTTGATAAAGTCAGCGAATCCATATAAATCAGCGAACAGAACCGTCACAGACTCAAAAATTTCAGCCGAAACTTTTTCACCGGCGCGCAGCTGCTTTGCCACGGATCTACATGAAAAAGAATATAGTACTGTAACGCGCTTTGACAAAACGGAAAATCGGAACAGAAGTATGCTTTTTTTATACTTCGGAAGGAACTGAGAGATGATAGCGTCGCATTTTTCCATCTCTTCCTTAAGTTCCCAGGTTCTAGTCGCGACTTGACCTTCCAACTCCATTGCATAACGCTCTAGTCGTTTGTAAATTTTGTCAAATAGCGTAGTTTTCTTCTTATTGGGAGCCAACAAAGGATTAATCTGGACCATTTCACGACGAAGTCTTGCTGCATCTGGTCGTTGAAGCGGATCTGCGCTGAGACATAACCGCAGTATGTCAGGAATGTCCGGCGCATCCAGGCAAAGATCGAGAACTTCGGGAAAACTCGGAGAATCTGTAAATTCAAATGGGAACTGCCCAGGATTAAGCTTACGTGACGGATACACCTTATCTGATCGGTCGTTACGGGCAAAAGCGTCGTGATACAAATTAACACATTAAAAGACCGTCCGGACATGAATTCGGATCCGGCCACTTTACCATAAGTTCAGGATAAAAGAGCTTTGGCACAAACGGTTTTGTCGGTTATAGTCGCTCAGAATACTTTTTCTTACCTTGTGCAGCTGCTATGATTTTCGCGAAGATATTTCCCGCGGTCAGTATGTCGTAGATGACCAGACCTGATGAGAAAATATCTACCATCTGTTGTGATTTGTTGTCAGCGCTGGCTGTTGTTCCGGGTGGTGACCAATATACAGATTCTCCGATGACATTCTGACATAAATTCGTGGTCAAATCTCGGTTGGCTTGGCATAAGTTATGCCGAATTTTCTCGGAACCCAAATGCGCCAGTTTAAGGGTGAAATGCTTATCCACCCAGCAAGTCAGGACACTGATTCGCCCATGGTATTGTAATGATGAAGAGTGAACATATTGAACTGCCTGCAAAACTGAATGCAAATGAGAAACCTGGTTTTATTATCGGTTGGACACCCATAGTTTCGTACTTCGATATAGTCCAGCACTAAGGAGCTTTGCATTGTCGGGTCTCTGCTAACAGAACTGTCAAATACGTCCGGCAGAGCTCCTCGTGAGGGACTCTCCATCACCGCGGAGATGCAGTAAACGCCGGTTGTGGAGGCTGTTATGGCCAGTCCGAAGAACTGGCAAATATTGATGCTGTCCATTTTGTTCAGCTATAAAACCAAAACCTGGAAAGCCCTGTAAATGCACAAATACTACGCAGCACGTCGCAGTACCTTGCGAAACAAAAGAAGGAGTTCTTTTGTTGCATGTATATTAGCAAAACTTGCCGGACTGCTTCTACTGACCACTTTCCAGCCCATCACCGGCTTGTTTTTAAAAGATCCAAGAAGGATGGCGTTGTTAAAGCTCTGCAGAAAACAACGCCGTACAGAGTAAACTTTACTGCGTTAATGTGAGACACATTAAAAACTTGCGGGCGACGAAGTGGTTGGGTCACGTAGCGCGTTTGATTCCAATGAGTAACGGGGTTTTCTTCCTTGTGCAGCTAGCAGCGAGAGCCGGGAGACTACTCTTTGATCTGGTGCCTCCAGATACACTTGCCACCAGGGGTCACGGAGTAACTGGTTGTCTGCTTTGCGTTTGACGAACCTAAAAAGCGTAAACTTAAGTACAGTAAAATTATGACTAACTTACTATTTTCTTCGTCTTCTAAAATTCCTCTGGTGTATAGTGTACCGCTAAGCAATAAATAGTTATTGGCATAGGAAGTCGTAAGTTTTAATTTTTCTCCAGTTTATATAATTGAATCTTGAATGTCGAATAAATGAATAAGTTTGTAGCTGGACAGTACTGTAAAGGTCAGCTGCAATTCCGTTGTTATTTCTGATTGGTCTAACCGCTGAAGAAGGTTACTTACACTGCACATCCCAGGACAGTTATGGCCCCGAATGAACAAACTAAACTGATCGATAGAACGTAAGTAAATCGATTATCACCTGTAACGTACATGAAATGGATAATTCGCACGGACAGCACGTAAGTATGTCAGGCAACTAAGGGTTTCTTATGTTTGCGACATTTTCCTAACCAGGCATACACGGCGGGCGTTGCTTGAGATATCCACATAGCGGTTCGTTAGGTGGGGGAAAAGAAGCATTGGAAGAACCCCACACTAACAATTGCTGCAGTTCTTGTATATTCCCGGTCTGACCAAACTTTCGCAGCAAAGGCTGTTGAAAAGAAAATAACCGGGGTGTTCTATTAGGAAACCAGCTAACAAATAACATAAAACTTACCTCACGACTTCCGTTTGCATTGAAAAGAGAAACTGTGAAGTCAGTACGCCGCTGTCCATCGCTGTCGATGTACATAGTGTTACCAAAGTTATCTGCAAACGTTCTATTGCGAAGCCGTTGCATTAGCGCCGCACCACTCCAATCTGGTTGCTTTTCCGTCGCTATTATATCGTTAATGATCTAAAAGTTGACAACTGGAAAACATTCTGACAGACACTGACGCAGTTTTCTGTTCTTCTGTTTGTCTGGAACTTACTATAGCTGAAAGAACTGGGAACGTCATCACTCTCGCATACCGCTGCCATGCCGACAGACGACTGTGCACAGTTTGTTCCCTGTCCTTTTAGTGTTAGCTATAGTAAGTTTTAAGTTTGCCGCCTATTTCGCTCAATTTTATACCGTTTTCATAAACTGGCCACCCGTCACATCCCATGTGACGCTCGGCGTGACTAAAACGCCGATCACGTACACTTCTGCTTCTGGTATCAAGTTTTCGTTAAATGTACGGGTTATCTTACTCAGATCGATTTGCTTGCGTCATCTGCTTTGCTTGCTACGGTTGCGTATCCCAAAAAACTATGCTTACGCAGGCTAAATGCCGGCATTTCCGGACAATTTTCTGTATTTTGTGTAATGATAGTATCTGATTTTCTTGTATAAAGAACTCTGGAACAAATTACAGGATATTATTATTGGAAAAAGATGTTTGTATAAGCTATAAACAAAATAAACGACCGGAGTGCAGCGAAGGTCCTCTACTTCAATTGAAATAAATGGTTGTTCATCTACCTGTTTGTTGCGGAAGTGACTCGATGACGTGATTGGCATTTGGGATTTAGCCCACACGACATCATGGAATAATAATTATACACACTGTAAGCCTGTAATTATGTATTATTTAATAATAAAAATTGTGAAAAGTATTTCAAAAACCGAAAATTTTGATAGTAATGCGGTTTTTAAAAAATCACAGTGGTATTATTCTGTGTATTCTACAGAAATCTACATGCGCTTTATTTGTACTGAATCGTACAGAACAAATATCGCTCACAAAATACATTCAAATAAATTTAAAATATCCTTCTACGGGTATGTAATGGATTTGACCTGACGATTATTTAACAGTTCTATACTTGCCCACAAAAATCGTGCAAACTGAAATGCATCCTTTTCTCGGGTTACCAGCCGATCTCACTGATTTTAATCAATCACAGATAATAATTTTATGATAAGGCAAAAAGTGTCGGAGGACTAAATTTTTAAGAATAATTTATAAAAACAACGAAATCGCGAAGCCATCAAACTCACTGCAAGGGCTGCGCTTCGGTCTACCAACGCACAGTTCGGTGCATTTTCCTAGGACACCAAAATTACGTTAAATTACGTTATGAATCACCATGAAGATGGATCACCTTCCCTACTAAAGACCTGCAAACGATCTGTAATTGGCGTATAATTGCACTGAAAAATGATATCTGTTATTATTTTTTCACGCACTCAAATTTCCGGATTCCGGTGCAGGTAAATATGTATACCCATAATGACATCTCAGGACATCCTGATACAATTAGTATAATAAGCATCCATCAAAGCTTTTCTGTTTCATTACTTGATCGTTGACTTTCATGAGAAAGAAGGAACAGTTTTCCAGTTAACACTGTTTCGTAAATATCTACGTTTTTGCTGTTTTATGGAAACTATACATTGACGATCCGTATAATTTATAAACTGATTGCCATAAGCAAAGCTTTTAAAGAGTTTGTACATTGTAGTGTTCAGAAGCTTGAGCAGGATACGTGGGTGCCTAGTTAGGAAGACTTATACGTAACTGACCACAATACGAAGGAAACTGACAAAATCACAGTGTTAAACCTTTTTTGACCTTTACTGTCGGGCTTACCTCCGCAAGTGCAAAGATTGTGGTGTATCCACTGATGATAAGAGTATACGGCTGAAGACAAAAAGCGTACACGAATGTAATCCAGACCACATTCTGAGAAGAATTACTTTTATCAGGGAGTGATCGACCAACCTGGCTCTGTAGAGGATAGGTAAAATTATAATCTCTTTCGGCTCGCCGAAGAATTTCTGCTCCAAGCTGCCTCTTTGCAGAGTTGTTGGTGCTTTCGCTTGGATTGATTATCAGCACGGAACGAAACGCTTGCAGAATAATCTAGTGACACAGCGATGAGTTAATACTTCCTTTATCGCAGTTTGCGAGCAACAGGAGCTAAACAGTTGCGGTAAGATGTCGCTACAGCTACTAAATACTATTTCAGATAAACGACCTCATCCATGGTACCAAAGTTCACCTACGTGCACAAGACCTTACATTTTCGTACACTCCCAAACACTTTTTTGCATTGTTTTAAGACATTCTGTAGTAATTTATAAACACTGCGTAAAAACCGTTTGTGCGCGCCATATCTTGTTGGGGAGTTATGGGTAAATTTAAATTTCGAAAAGCGAAAAACGCAGCATTGGTTTCTGGTAGTTCTAGCGTGGGAGATGATAAAATATAAGCGCGGTTACGCATAGAATATTAGGATCTTTACTCACCAAGTCGTTTTTATCGCTCGCTTGCCAATATATTGGGCGAAACAGATTGTTTTCAACCAAAACATAAACCTACAATTGATTCGATCAATCGATAAGTTCAAGGCGGTGGCACCATAATCCAGTTGAAACCTTGAAGGCACTCGATTTTGCTTACATGTTCGCCATTCGTCATCTCCATGGATGAAGCGATGAACTGCAGAAACATTCCATCAAATCTCACACCGTAACAAACATAAAAATCTGCACAAATATTCCCTTACCAAAAATTCTCGTAGAGCCGGCCCATTACCGAAGTACAGCACAACTAGAAATTATACACTTTCAGCTTAACTGATCCGGACGGCTGGAGCTTTGAACTAACGCACTTTCTCACCTCTACTTGTTGCACGGATCTTCTCGAGAATCGATGGAAAGTCGGCAAACGGGGAAGTGGACTGCGCGGAAAGGGTCCAGACAGTGAACCTGATGCGCCTTTCATTCTTGAGATGGATCACGACTAACGCTCCCACGTCAGCATAGAAGGCCGGCGAACTGTTGTCGATGATGACATTTACCGATGTCCAGTTGAACTTGAGCAATAATTGTATAAATAATTCACCCGCGTCGGACATGCGGAAATAGCTGGTGATTATTCCCGTGGGGTATTGCAACCGTTGTGAGCCTGTGATTGGGCTGGCGCCTGCCCTGAAACATGGAAAACAGTGCTTGTTTACCAGGATGGTTAATTGCTGAGCAGCTTGCTACAAGCCTACAACTACCGACATTGAAATCCACAAAGCGTCCCATTGTGTACAAAGCCGTGCTAATTCCACAGCGCCACCGATTTCACATCCTAAAATTTCAGAAAATCGCACTAATGAGCTACCAGGAAGTATTTGACATTAATTTTCTTGTATGTTTTTGAGCGATGTGTTTTTTTGTGCGCTACCTGGTAAAATGGACACGAGGGCGTCACGCTCTTTGCGCTGACGATAATAGATATCGGCGGACACTGCGGCAACATTGCTGGTAAGGTTCCCACAGTTCTGATCTTGAACGTATTCAGTATTGAATCGTATTGATCCATTGTATATTTTGTGCACATGATCAACAGCCAGCGACAACGCTGGTGCGGTATATGGCAGAGATCCGTAACCTCCTGTTGCGATGCCGGCTACTAGCAAACTCACATTGACAGCACGATGACCCGGCTTCCGTTCCAACTGGTTAAGCACTGGATCAATACACACCATAACAATAAGGATGGAGAGTGGAGTAAATGAAAATATCATCTTCACGTTACGCGCCTTAATAGGACTCGTAGTAAACTTGACAGCCAGTTCATGGAAACAACGCTTCAAAGCATTTATTCGCAACACAAGGGAGGATTTGCCGTGGATTTGAAGTATGGAAAATATAATTCCGGCGCTGGTTGAGTGGTGATCCCGGCAATCAGCAAAGGAATGAATGAAAAGGTCTAACTAACGACACGGATTCTGCACTGAAGAAGAGGGGAATTAAACCAGCTGGGTGTTTCAAATGTAAATAGAATTTGTCATTGACTACCACCAGTTTGCTAGTAACGCTGCAGTATATAAGCGTAAATTGTTAGAACTAATCACTGGCCTTCCGGCGATATTGACCTTTTAACTGTACGACTAATTGACGGCATTACGCATGCACGAACACCAAAGCATCAATGATCAGATAAACAGGGAACGGTGTAACTTAATATTAAGATGGACATATCTTGTGAGCTTTCCCAGTTTCCAGTATTTTTTCTCGGCACACTCGCAGCAAAAAAAACTGGCTGTCAGAGAAATGTATCAACTAAGCAAACAATATGTCCCAGCATGCTGTTATTTAATACCTTGTTTATTTAGCGATATCATTATGGTTGCAGTTATCGCCCTAGTTAAAGCCTGGTTTTTCCCATCTTACTGATCCGCCGCTTCGATCTCCCCACAATTTCTTTACGCACCACGATTGAAATTGCGGTAGTACGTCTCTTTATCTACCTGAACTCGCGGTTGTCGTCTTGTTGCAAAAGAATTATCATCAGCTGTAGTCTGTAAGATATATGTAGAGAAGAAGGTAGGCGCGTGCCACAAAATCACCAGCCAACGTTTTGCTCTAATTTATCGCACAGCATCCGTGCGAGTGTACGAATATTATTACCAGTCAAGTTTACTGGAGGATGCACGGGTACTACTTTGATACAGTTGTGATGGAGCCTTATTCCACACAGCTTTTTTGGGAAATTCGGTTTAGTTTAGAAGTGTTGCTCTTTTAGCTCCCTAAAAATGTGGTCGATTTGCTAAAGTTCACACCATCTTGTCGCAAAATCGAATTTCAAAATACTCCAAGACCAGCAGCTACCGACCGTCATAATTAATGCCGGTGGATTCTGATCGTTCATGTTAACTTGAACAGCTAGAATAAAAGTCACTGTCATACGGACGTGTTGCCTAATTGACCGAGCGTGTGTGCATGGGTGTGCGCACGCGTACAATTGGGAGTGGGACATTTTCGCCGCACTCAGATTAGACGCGCGACTTTTCGCCGCGGTACATCTGGATGCTGGGGCATTGCGGTTTGGGATATATTGCTTTCAGACATCTAACCTTGGACGCGCTGAGTTGCACTTTTTTCCAGGATTTTTTATAGGTTTTCGGGCTATTTTTAAGGTCCTCTTTGGTTTTCATATGTTTTTCTATATTCTCAGATTCTTAGATTTCTTAGGTTTTGCGTTTCTTAAGGTGTTGTAGATTCTTTGGTTTCTGAGGTTGCTTAGGTCTCCTAGATTTCCTGGTTACTTAGGTTTCTTAGGTCTCGACGTCGAAATAATCTTACGACAAAATGTCTCGGCGCCGAAATGTCTCGCGGCTTGATGTCGTGCCGACTAATTGTTATGCCAGCAGGAGATTAAACGTAAACGAGCTGAACGAGAAGAAAGTCTTGAAAGTCAAAACCGGCGACCCGAGCAGCACTTTTGCCGCTCGCGCCGGACGTTTTCGTCGTGCCATATAAAAGTAGAGAGAGAGCAGGATAGGAGGTGTACGGTAGGTTAGAGGCCGACTCCAAGACAAATGCTTTCGTCGCCCTAACAAAATTAACGAGCTGCCTCATGTTGCAGCATGTGGGAGTACAGCGTAAACACACATACGGCACACGATTTCTTTGTGATTGGTTGTTTCCGGATCACCCGGAAGTTAATATTTACAGAAACGTTATAAGAGAAGTAATCCCCTCCGATACAGTTAAACTTCCTGTATACAGTATTACTCCAAGCGAGGCCTGCTTTGCGCGACAGAGAGAGCGTACACCTGGTAGTTATACGTAAACTGTTTACGTATAACTACCAGGTGTAAGTAAACAGTAGGTGACTTACAATCGGCATCGTCGACAGCTCAGGTGTAGCACTCTATGAGAGAAGAAACATGCTGCGACGTTTGTTCTTTTAAAAGGAAGAGCTTCCGGTTTGTGGCAATTGCTGATTTAGTGAAAACGTTTCCAGATATAAAGAAATCAATAATACTGCTCTGTCTTAATTATTCCTGTGCAACCGCCTTTTAATAGCTTATTCAAATAAATCCACGACTTAATCTACACAAAACATACAGACGCCGCTTGCATTGGACAGCTTTTCCCAAATCGTTAACACTTCGACACTCTACAGAGTAGAAAGTATGCATTTCGAAAGACCAGCCATTAGATTCTTCTAATGAAATAGATTTTTTCATAAAGACAGATCTTTCAATTCACTCCTATAGCTGTCAACGTTGCTAAGCTAAGAAAGCACTTACCACTTTCCGAGGTTTTGGATTCTTAACAACGACCACAGGTCACAACAACTGCAGTGCCGAAACCGTTTATTGAAAAGAACCTTTGTGACCTTCCATCAGATCGGGAATAGAAAAGAATGGGTAAAACTCGGGCTCGACACAACGAAAAATAAATCTAGTACTTGACTTTAATTTTACCATCTTTTTTGGTGCGCCATACAAAACATTTGCAACCAAGGTGATCATTCACAGCGGGTTCGATTAGTGCAGATTGTGCAAAGGATCCAAAAACCTGGAAACGCTTGCCGAAAACGCTTATTTTATTGCCTTGCAAATAGGTGTTACGCGTCTGATATTTAATAATTATTATCTTGGTCGGGAGCTTTTATAGAGCTGGTATGGATCCTGCAAAGGCAGAGAGCGCAAAGAGAGGGAGAAAGAGAGTGATAGAGCGATGCTGCAAAGTGTCAATAAAGTCACTCCATAATACTCGTAGCAGAATTTAGCGACGTCATGCAGAAACAAACCAATCTGCTGCCATTTCAGGCTTGCCTTCGATAGACAAAAGTCCCATGATTCTAGTGCAAACCTTCTAAACGCCTCCCATAATAAATGAATGCTTAAGCTTGGAAGAATGTGGTTTGGTAGGCCGTGGCTCCACATTCTATCTCCAAACCGGTAAACAATTTGATACATATTGTAAGTTGTTTGTAATTAGAGAGCGAGCGTACTGTATTTCCAGTAAGAGCGGATTCATGCTTGTCTCCAGTTGGTAGAAGACTAGGAAATTGGGGTGAAGGGTGTTTAAAGGAAGTGGAAGTTGGTGTACTTGTACACAAAACTTTCTTTTCCGCACACTATCAAACCCTTTTTGCTTTATTTTCTGCCATTCTGTAGCCAGATGATTTGCCTGCGCGATAGGTCACTGCGGGATATTTGGTGCTGGGGCAATCGTCATAGACAGTTGGCCGTGAGGGCTTTTCGACATCAGACAGTTACCGGTAGCCATTTGGGTTCAAGAACATTTCTTCCGAGGGCAATTCGTTTTTGTGGCAAATGGTCGTACGAGTATCCGTTGCCATAAACCGTTTCAGAATTTTTGACTCTTCTTAAAACTCATTTGGCCAATGTCCGACCGTGAGGGGATATGTCGTGAATTAAAGACCTTGCGCCAATTAAGTGGAAGCTGATTATACATACCGACCACGACACAATCGGTGGAGCACTGTCCACCACTTTTCGGCACTATCTTTTACTCCGTTCACCATTTGTTGACAAGACAGTATTCACAAGGAAAATTTGTTTTGCTTCCTACCAAGTTCCAGCATGTTGTACAAACATTTTATTTATTTTTTTTTCGGGAAAGGTTGCGTAGAGCTTTGCTATGAGCTCACGGTACCAACCGGGTATTCTAATACTACAGTATTGTAATGGTGTAATGGTAGCCCAATAACTCTATAACAAAACAACGGAACTGTTAGAATTTATATTATGAGATTATTATAGTCACGGGAACAGAAAGCGGAAGCATCGCACACACTGGTGTTGTTCTGTTCATCAACGTTATACAAGCAGGTTTCTTATATAGCACTAGGTACATTCACGATATTAGTAAGTTACTGCACCTAAACATCTGATAAACAAGGGGATTGGTGACCTGGGTGCACCGTACACTCATAGATCAGTTAGTAGGACAATGGTCATAGTTCACAAGTAGATGACACATTATGAGTGTATAATATATTGGTAATATATTTTCTAACACCCCCCTTCACCCAGCGGGCCATATCCACTGAAACGCACACTGGTTCCAAAGGTTCTTGATTCGGATCCTTGATATCTTTACATTGATTCTCTCACGCGTTCACGTCGGCAATGTTGCACTCGGTGTCCCACGATTCCACAGTTAGTGCAAGCCGGGCAAGTTGGACATGTTCTGGTTGTGTGTCCTTGCATTCCGCAGTAGTTGCATTCGATGTCCATATCTTGATATGCGGATCCTGAAGTCCGTGGTCCTATCGCTTTGTCATCTCTCTCTCTTTTATTCTCTCTCTCTCTCTCTCTTTTAATCTCTCTCTCTCTCTGACTAAAACTCGGATACGCTGATCCGAAAGGTCCTTTAGGATATCCTCGGTTTTCTTCTTGGCTCTTGATCATCTGCTCAGTTAACATCAGCTTTTCACGGAAGACACTCATCTTCGGATCGGGGCCGGCCATCATGTTCCACGATGCCACAAAGGGTCCGTATTCAACTGGCAGGCTGGACAGTGTTTTTGAAATCAGCCACTCATCGCTGGTTTTCACGGCTTTCCCACAGGCGTCGATCTTCGATGCCAATACGTGCAGCGTTGACATGAAGGTGTTAACGTCGTCGTTATCCTTCCACTTAAGTCCAAAAAACTCAGTCATCGCGGTCATTAAGTCGCATCCAGTTTTCGGCTCCCTTAACTCTTTAATTCGATCCAAAATTTCCGCTGATGTAGTACAATCGCGTACCTGGTTAAAGGTGACGTCGTCGAGCGTCGCTCGCAAAATGCTCCTCGCTTTTCCGTCTCCGGATATCCATTTATTATACGCGGCATGTTTCTTTTCGTCTGCTGGATCATCTCTTGGCATCTTGTTGCTTCCATCCACAATGCTCCACACGCCTTCTCCAGTTAAGACGTCCTCCACTTCGACTCTCCATCGAGCGTAGTTCGAGCCATTGAGTACCGTGACCTTGATCTCCTTCAACGTTGCCATCTTGGCGTCGTAACAGTAACAGTAGTAAACCACTATACTAATAAGACACGGTAGATACAACTTCCTGCTTAGAGACAAGCAGGTCTCATAATCTGTTAGAATTTATATTATGAGATTATTATAGTCACGGGAACAGAAAGCGGAAGCATCGCACACACTGGTGTTGTTCTGTTCATCAACGCTATACAAGCAGGTTTCTTATATAGCACTAGGTACATTCACGATATTAGTAAGTTACTGCACCTAAACATCTGATAAACAAGGGGATTGGTGACCTGGGTGCACCGTACACTCATAGATCAGTTAGTAGGACAATGGTCATAGTTCACAAGTAGATGACACATTATGAGTGTATAATATATTGGTAATATATTTTCTAACAGGAACCATGAACGTCTGCTTCACCAATATCATTGCTTGGCCGCGCCCTCTTGACCACCGCAGATGAAAATATTTTTTAAAGATACTACGATTTATTACATCATTCTACTGTGAACGTGACCTTTCTGATTTGGAGCCGGCCTTATGTTCCCTGGTGAGTACGAAAGTTTAGCACTCTGGGAGTACGGCGCTGTCAGAATACGGTGGGATACTGTGGGTTTCGAGGGTAATACGCAGCAGACATCAGTTGGTAGTCTGCAGGTATCAGGGTACTTGTATCTGGCATATGCCACGCCGTTTACAGCACTCTCAGTCTCAGAGTGTTCCTTATTCTGCGTAGCAGGTGAAGCCTGAGTTTGTACGAAAAATGCTTTTGAGTGTTTGTGTATATGCATTTTCCATGTATCCTGCTGCCTTCCGCTTTTACGGTTTTATTACCTGTATGTAATGTGAGTGCTAATGGATTCGTATCTTTACTGTACCCGCTGTGTTGTTGATCCCTCATGTATCCTGTTGCATTTTAGTTTTCTTGGCTTTCTTACGTTAAATTTCTGAGCAGAATACATGTAAGGAACAAGATAGAGCATACTGCGGGAATGGGTTGAATGCGGCAATAAAACAAATATAATCGGATATATCATATAATTATGGTGTATACGTTTCCCAAAAAAAACACGCCCCGAAAAATGTGACTTGCGACGTGTACTAAGTCGTCCATATCTACGAGTACGGGTAGTAAAAAGACGAATCACAAAACACCATAGCGTGCTAAAGTGAAAAGCAATCTCGTGAAAAACGATCATCACGGCGGCTGGTTCCGAATACTTCTAACAAACAAACAAAGCAAGGATATTTTCTCAATTCTATTTTGCTTCCGAATCGTATCTATCACGCAGACAGCGTTCGCACGACGTATGTGAATGAGGCAGAAAAATTGGTTGGCGCGTTTGTGACCAGTTGCAGCTGCGAAGACCCTGACGACATCATGCTTAGTGACGTGATGGTAGAAGAAGCCAGTATGTTGTCATGGTAGCTTTTCCCTTTATCGCTTGCAGTCCTCTTGACTCAACAGTGAACTGGCGGAAGTTCCCCAGAAGTGCTTGGCTGTGTGGGCTTAAATGAATGTGTCCTGGCAAGCCATGACTGCACATTCGGGAGGCCATGTTGATGGTGTCACCGAATCTGTCACAAAAACAATCAAGAGAACTTTGCCTTGATTGTTACTTTGCAGTTGGCATTTTTGTGCCGCTTTAAAGCTCTCTTTCGTCGAGTGCTTTCAAATGCGTCATATTCACATGCGTAAGTGCATAAGTAATAGTATAGTACTTGCTCAAATATTCCGCAATGAAAACGATTAATAAGGAGTAATAATATAACGGAGCTAACGTACAGGCAATAGCGTGGGCGTTTCAGTCCCATAAGGCCGGCGGCGCATGGACCTAAAAAACAGCTGTCATCGACGCAAAATTTTTATTAACGACATACACAAAACCACCATGTTTACCGGAATGCATGCCAATCTTAAATTGTAAATTCAACATAAAGGTCAGCTGAGGTCCAGCCTCCATTAACTTAATCGCAAATCCCGCCATCCTTTCAATGTGGTTGTTTCCGATTCGCTCTGGCAGTCCACTCGCTACCTGCACAGGAATATGCGTCTATCTGTGGACAGCCATAAACTGGTCAACCTAATCGGTGATTACCATAAATGAATCCATAACGGCCTCCACTTTGTAGACCTCGCACTGCGTTGACAGTTTATCGATAAAAACTTCCGTGGCCGAGATCAAGAAGATCGTCATCTCAGGCGAACCACTTTTGATAAAGTCAGCGAATCCATATAAATCAGCGAACAGAACTGTCACAGACTCAAAAATTTCAGCCGAAACATGTTCGCCGGCGCGGAGCTGCTTTACCACAGATCTGCATGAAAAACAATTATAACACTCTTTGAAAAGCGGGAAATCGCAATAGCATTTTCTTTATACTTTGGAAGAAACTGGGAGATGATAGCATCGCATTTCTCCATTTCGTCCTTCAATTCGCAGGTTCTTGTCGCGACTTGTCCTTCTAACTCCATAGCATAACGCTCCAGTCTGTGGTAAATCTTGTCGAAAAGCGTAGTTTTCTTCTTATTGGGAGCCAGCAAAGGATTAATCTGGACCATTTCACGATAAAGTCTCCCAGCAGATGGTCGCTGAAGCGGATCTGCGCTGAGACATAATCGCAGTATGTCTGGAAAGTCAGTCGCATCCACGCAAAGTTCGTGAATTTCTGGGAAACCTGGAGAATCTGCAAATTCAAGCGGGAACTGCACAGGATCGAGCTTATGTCGTGGATACACATTGTATGCTGCATCTGACCGATCGTAACGGGCAAAAGCGTCGCTATACACCGATACACGCACCCGGACATTTGGAAGTGTGACATTTCGTCGCACTGAAGACGCGCAATTTTACGCCGCGAAGACACTTCGCCGCAGGATATACGGACGCTGGGAAATTTCGGTTTGCGATATGTTGCATTGAAGCATCTTGGCATGATCTTGCCCTTGCGACATTTTGACGCAAAAACTCTGCTCGCGGACATTCACCGCAAACGGTGCATTTAGTTTTTTTACAGGTTTTGCAAGTTTTTTTCTTGGGTTCTCCCGTTCTTTCTTAAGTTTTTCTTAGGTTTCTTATGTCTTATTTTTTTCTTACGTTTTATGCCTTATATTTTTCTTACTTAGGCTTCTTAAGCATTTTTTAGGTTTGTTATGGATTTCTGATGTTTTTCTTATATTTTCGTAAGTTTAATGTTATCTGTCCGATGGTTCGTATGTCTTGCTCGAAGAAATAGCCTCGCGACGAAGTGTCGCGCGTCGAGATGACCTTGCGACGAGATGTCTGCGACAAAATGTCCTGCGACGAATTGTTCTCGGCGAAATGTCGCGGTGCCATATTTGTGCAACACAAATATAGCCACCGGAAAGACCGTTCAAACGACCATGTCACTGTGCCGTAAGTTCAGGGTGAAAGGTTTTTGGATCGACGAACGGTTTTGCCAGTTATGCAGTAGTCGCATCAGAATGCTTTTTCTTACCTTGGGCAGCTGCTATAATTTTTGCGAAGATATTTCCGGCGCTCAGTATGTCACAGATGACCAAACCCGATGAGTAGATATCGACCATCTTTTGTGACTTGTTGTCAGCGCTGGCCGTTGTTCCGGGTGGTGACCAGTATACACATTCTCCGATGACATTCAAATATAATTCCGAAGTCAAATCTCGGTTGGCCTTGCACAAGTTATGCCGAATTCTCTCCGATCCCAAGTGCGCCAGTTTAAGGGTGAAATGCTTATCCACCCAACAGGTCAGAACACTGATTCGTCCATGGTATTGTATTGACGAAGAATGAATATAGCGAACTGCCTGCAAATGGGAAACGGTTTTCATCATCGCTTGCGCATAGTTAGGCTAGGCTTTCGCACTTCAATATAGTCAAGCACTAAGGAACTTTGCATTGTTGGATCTCTAATAACAGAGCTGTCAAATACGTCCGGCAGAGCTCCTCGTGAGGGACTCTCCATCACGGCGGAGATACAGTACACGCCGCCTATGGATGTTGTTATGGCAAGTCCGAAGAACTGGCAAATGTTGATGCTGTCCATTCGGTTAAGCTACACAGCCAAAACCTTGAGAGGCCTGTAAATGCACAAGTTACAGTTCACAGTACCTTGCGGAATAAAAGAAGGAGTTCTTTTGTAGCATGTATATTAGAAAAGTTTGCTGGAAGGTCTCTGCTGGCTACTTTCCAGCCCATCACCGGCTTGTTTTCAAAAGATCCAAAAATGATGGCGCTGCTAAAGCTCTGCAAAAGCCAACGACTTGCAGAGTAAAGTTTATTACGTTAGTTTTCGAAAAACTGAAGACTTGCGGGTGATGAAGTGGTTGGGCAACGTAGCGCGCTTGTTTCCATTGAGAAACGGGTCCTTTTTCCTTGTGTAACTGAAATCGAGTGCCGAGATACTGCTCGTGAAACTGATATCGAGTGCCGGGATACTACTCTGTAATCTGGTGCTTGCAGATACACTTGCCACCATGGGTCACGGAGCAACTGATTGTCTGCTTTGCGTTTGATGTACCTACAAAGCGTAAACTTATGTACAGGAAAATTTTGAACAATTTGTGTATTTTTCGATTTGGCTCGCATGTTTGGCTGGTCTAATGACTGAAGAAGGTAACTTACACTGCGCATCCCAAAATAGTGAGGGCCCCGAACGAACAAACTAAACTGATCGACAGAATGTATGTAAATCGATTATCACCTGCAACGTACACAAAATGGATAATTCCTTCCGATAAAACGTAATGCTTTGCATAAATGCTGGTTTGTTTGTCGGGCAAATAAGGCGGGTCTATGTTTGCGACATTTTCCTAACCAGGCATACACGGCGGGAGTTGCTTGAGATATCCACATAGCGGCTCGTTAGGTGGAGGAAAAGAAGCATTGGTAGCACCCCACACCAGCAGTTGTTCCAATTCTCGTATCTTCCCGGTCTGGCCAAACTTTCGCAGAATAGGCTGTGGAAAAGGAGATAAACGGCGTGCCCTATTGGAAACCAGATAATAAATAACTAGATTGTACCTCGCGGCTTCCGTTTGCATTGAAAAAAGAAACTGTGAAGTCAGTGCGGCGCTGCCCTTCACGGTCGATGTACATCATGTTGCCGACGTTATCTACAAAGGTTCGATTGCCCAGGCGCTGCATTAGTGCCGCACCACTCCAGTCTGCTAGGTTTCCCATCGCGCTTGTTTCGTTAATAATCTGAAAGTTGACACTTTGAAGGCGTTCTGGCAGAAACTGACACAATTTTGTATTTTTCTGTTTGTTGCATAGTTCGAGTTGCGTTGTCAAGTGTAATAAAAAAAGTGCAACAGAAATTCTGGCAAGCATTCGGAAAGTGTAACTTATTTGCAGTAAAAAGACTGGTGCTAACATCTTCAGCTCCAACATCCTGTATACTCGTAATAAAAGAATAAGTGCAGGTGTGATCATAATAATCTGCGCATCCAACCAAATCGATACATGTACACTGCATCGTCGGCATCTAGCCCATATTTATTATGACGATATGGAATAATAATATACTGTAATTAGGCATTATCTGATAATAAAAATTGAAAAAAAATGTATCAAAAATTCCGATAATAATGTAATTTCTACTATTACTATTAGTCTTTCTATTCTAAAATATCAATCAGCTTAATTCGTACGGACGGGGATTGTTCACAAAATACATTGACAAACTGGAATACCTCTCATTCTTCGGTTACCAGCCAATCTCACGGATTTTAATCAGAAATATTGATTTTTTCATGAGGCAAAATGTCGGAAATCCAACTATCAAAAATAATGTATGAAAACAACAAAATTACGAACATTGGTTCAATATTCTGCGTTCTTCGAACCTACGTAATATAAGTGCTGCGCTCCCGTCTACCAGTGCATTTCCTAGCATGCCGAAATTACGTCAAATTACGTTATAGATCAGCATAAAGATTATTAATGATCTTCCATGCTGGCGACCTGCAAACGATCTGTAATTGTCGTATAATTGCACTGAAAAACTAGACCTGTTATTATTTCTTCACGCAGTCAAATTTCCGGATTCCGGTGCTGGGTAAACATATTTAGTATCATTTACGCATAACATGACATCCTGATCTCATGACATCCTGATATAATTAGTATAATAAGCAATTCATTGCGTTAAATTACGTTATGGATCACCATGAAAAAGAATAACGATCTTCCTTACTGCACACGTTCTACCGGGTGACTGAGCAAGTCTGCTTTACCTAAGTCTGCCGCGGGTCACTCCAGTGTTAGACTGACATCACCATAGTTTCGTTCGAAAAAGCAGTGGTCGTAGCATATAAAAGATATATTAAAATGGCATTATAAAACGGCTGATGTTCCTAAATTCTTTTGAAAAATTGGGTGGAATTGGAAGGTATCCCGGAAATGGAAATCGAAGCTGTTCAACAAAATATATTATTGTGCATAACATTAGCATCTCGGTTAAGGGGATAAGTTCTTGTCTTTTTATCACAAACATCCAAGACATTTTACTGAACGTGTTCGAAGAAAAACGGAAGCGTGTTCGAATAGAAGACCCTCGAATAACTGAAAACATTCGTTAAGAAACGTGCACTTCTTTGCAAAAGTCTCATTTTTTTTCTATGAAAAACAAAAGTTCTTTGTCACATAAAACAGCTGGAAAGTTTTTAAAAGGAAGGAAATTCGCGTTTTGCGAGGTGGGGTCGAATAAATCTTTACACGGTTTTAATTGCTTCCAGAAGTAATGGGCGCGTCCCGATTTTTAAAAGAAGCTTTATTGCGTTTGACAGATTATGGAATTGTCTACTGGAATGAGGCTAATAAGACTACGATACGGCAGTTGGTTTTCGAGAACCAAATTAAAAGAAGCAACCGACATTTTATATAATTGCCGTATAATTCTATTGAAAAATGATATCTCTTATTACTTCTTCACCCAATCAAATTTCCGGTAAACATTTAAAGGCAAATGATATCTCATGACATCCTGATATAATTAGTATAATAAGCGCTCATTAGCGCTTTTATGTTTCGTAACCTGATCGTTGGCCTTCCCGAGAAATGACGGAACAGTTTTTAAGGGCAACGCTGTTTCCTAAGTACACTGAGTTTCTTGTTTTATGGAAGCTATACATTGACCGTTCGGATAATTTGTGAACCGATTATCATGAGCAATCATTTTTACCTAATGAATACGACAATTTTTAAATAGTTTGTGCGTTATAGTGTTCAGAATTCAGAGCGGGATACGTCGTTGTCCTGTTTCTCAAAACGTCTACATGACTTGACCAAAGTATAAAAAAAATTATCATACTGTCAGTGATCGTTAAAACCTTTGTGACCTTTACTTCGGGCTTACCTCCGCAAGCGCAAAGATCGTGGAATACCCACTGATGATCATAATATACGGCTAAGGAGAAAAAACATGCAAGAATGTCAACTGGGCTGCAGTTTGAGAAGAATTTAAAAGAATCAATTTAATCAGGAAATGGTCAACCCACCTGGCTTTGTAGAGGATAGGTAAAATTATAATCTCTTTCGGCTCGCCGAAGAAGTTCTGCTCCGAGCTGCTTCTTTGCAGAGTTGTTGTAGTTGTTTTGGCTTGGATTGATTATCAGAACGGATCGAAACGCTTGCAGAATAATCTACAAACACACGCAATTTGCCCAGCGATGAGTGAGTACGTACTCGTAATTCCCCTTTAACACAGTTAGCGCGCTGTTGTACAGGAGCTTCAGTCGCCAACTACTCGTAGCTAAATAGATGCGGTAGGGTGTCGCTACGACAACTAACGACTATATCGGATAAGTGACCCGGCGTGCGACACCAGTTTCATCTTTTGTACATGGAAAAAATTAATTTGGGAGGGCGCGAAGGTTAAGACATTCTGCAGGATAATTTGCATGCACTGACGTAAAAAGCGATTCAGCACCTCATCATGTTGGGGAGTTGTGGGTAATATAATATTTTTGAAAGTTGAACTGCAAATACAGTAGCTGTATCGAACACATCGTTATGGACAAATCTTTGTCGAATTTTGTTCAAAAGCGCAGGTACATATAAAGATCGTTTTGACATGAAAACTTGTTTTTGGGAATTTTAAATTGATTTTTTATATTTTTTTAACTCGTTTTATAACTAGAAAAACACAATGGAGACGCGGTTGTGGCAAACTGATCAACACAGCATAACACACAAACACAACATAAAAACGAAGAATAGCACGACATTTGTTTCTGGTAGTTCGGGTGCAATAAACCACAAATCGCATTTAATATCAGCGCTGTTACACATAAAATAATAAGAGCTAACGACTTACTCACCGAGTCCTTTTTATCGCCCGCTTGCCAATCTATGGGGCGAAACAGATTGTTCTCAACCAAAATATAAACCTGCAATTGATATCTTGTTGTTAAGACCAGATACCGTTAAACCAGTTGAAAGCAAGACCCGCTTACGTATTCGCCATTTGTCATATCCATGGATGAAGCGATGAACTACAGAAACGTTCCATTACAATGGACACCATAAATGTGGTTACACTTAAACCGCGCGCAACCAGATACTTATCTGTACTCAGACTGCCAATTCCGTGCTGGCCATCGGCCTGTTGATACTATTCACCTTGCACCTTGCACTTCCCAACGAAAACTATCAACGATATCTCAAAGAATGAGAAAAAATTAAGAATTCTGATACCATACAAATTCGTTTTTATTTTTCTGTTATGAAAATCGAGGTTCCTGAAGTTTCCCGTAGACAAAGCATATGCGTAAACAAACCAAACCGTGGATTCAACCTATGCTATGTCTACGGGAAACTTTAGGAGCCTCGATTTTCTCTTAGATGTAATAAAAACCAACTTGTTTGGTATCAGAATTCTTAGAATTTTTCTTATTCTTTGAGATATCGCTTGGTGGTTTTCGTTGAGAAATGCAAGTTCCAAGTGCCTGAGTTTAGCATACGAGTCTACGCGCAAATGGACATGACCGACTTATTTGGTCTGCTGTTGGTCTTGCCGTTAAAATATCGGTCCTCGGACCGATTGTCTAGTAACCACATTTATGGTGTCCACTGTATACCTCACAGCGTTGGAAATATAAATGTTTACACAGATATTCCCTTACCAGAAATTCTCGTAGAGCCGGCCCATTACCGAAGTACAGCACAACTAGAAATTATACACTTTCAGCTTAACTGATCTGGACGACTGCATCTTTCAACTAACGCACTTTCTCACCTCTACTTGTTGCACGGATCTTCTCCAGAATCGATGGAAAGTCGGCAAACGGAGAAGCTGACTGCGCGGAAATGGTCCATGCAGTATACATGATGTGTCTTTCATCCTTGAGCAGCGTCACGAGTAACCCTCCCAATTCGGCATAGAAGACCGGCGAACTACTGTCGATGATGACATTAACCGATGTCCAGTTGAATTTGTTCAGCAACTGTGAAAACAGTTCGGCACCGTCCGGCATACGGAAATAGGCGGTGAAGACTCCCGTTGGAAATTGCCCCCGTTGAGAGCGTGTTATTGGGCTGACGCCTGCCCTGCAACATTAGGAACAGTGCTTTCTTACCAAGCAGTTAAAATGCGGGTGAGCAGCATGCTACAACTACCAAGTACTCACGGCGAAAACCATAAAGTGTCCCATTGGGTACCGAGTCGGGCTAATTCCAACGCTGCACCGATTCCACACCCTGGAATTCGAAAAACCGCACAACTGAGGAACCAACAAGTAGCTGACGTTTGGAATTGTGTATTTCTTGTACAGCTGCGAATAAAAAAAAATTATTGTTTGAAAATAACGGCACGGTCGGCACCTCTCAAAACACAAGCGCAGCGGCTCCGTGGAATTCGGACTATTTGCCGCCCAGTGCCGCAATTTCGATAATTACGGTAACTTACTATTTTTTGCAAACTGTTACCTGGTAAAATGG